ACGTTTACTACAAGGCTCCATTTTTCAATGAAGGGTCAATAGTAGCATTCACGCACAGCTCCTTAGCATAAGCACGGTTACTAAAAACTACTACTACTTTTTTAGTAACCGTGAGTACCTAAGCTTGTGCTATGAAAGTGTGTGTGAACACTTAGCATGGGTAAGAATCGCTAAATACAGATTAAATCTGGCTGTTTTTTAAGACCTGATCTGGATCGATAGCACGGGCTAACAAAGTGTGTGAACGCTTAGCTCAGGATGAGCCCATGATAGTCAATGTAAGCACATCTAGAGATATTGTTCTTGAAAAAAATGAACTGACAATGAGACTCTGTGCTACTTCCCGTTATTCTGCAATCTGCACTTTTTGAATTTGCTTTGGTATTGTTTTGTAACCGTAGAACTAACGTGTATACCTTCTTACTATTCTTTTGTAAACTTTGGAGATATTGGGTTACATCGCCGAGCATACCCCTTCTTACTATCAGACAAGTCACAGTTGAAGACTGTGGCCACATGTGATCCCTGGTCAGTCAGAATTTTATGGTTGCCAGAGGATCTGCTCCCCAGGGTAAGGGGGCGCATGACCATGGCATGAGGGTGCTGCACCCCTGTTCCCTTGTTTAAAAAATCTTTGCACTCTGAACATAACAGTAAACAATACTAAACACAATATTAATTTCATTAAAACAGCAATGAGTAGTTGAAGAAAACTTTACCAGAGATTGGCTGGAGCTGTTTACTACAGCATGACTTGCAATGAAATAATCCCTATTGTTTAGAAGTGTATTTATAGTATACATGTACGTGGGCCTATATGTAAGCCTACTACATGTACAGGAAGTGTATAACACCAGAGCACTACCAGTAGAAATGTTTTCATGGAACATCAAAGACAACAGCTATATTGGGAAGCTTGACAATGTACCATATATCTAATTACGTACCCTACATCTGCCCCCTTAACTTAATGCTAAGACACTAATTCATATTAGCAAAAAGTAACTTTCTTTGATCATGGACGTACTAGAGATGAACGCTGCACGGTGATTCACACCTAATAAGACGCATTGTCTTTCTATTGTACTCATCTTAAATTTATGAATAGGCAGACGTACTTTCATCTTGGCTGAGTTGCCGCCCGATCTTAGTTTTGATTTTTCACGACAAGATTCAAATCTTAAATTTTATATTATATTGGGTCAAAAAAAAAGTACAGACCTTGCCCGTGAGTTGGTGCAATGTTAAGTTGTAAATCAAGGGCTTAACGCAATTCCGTATGTTCTAGGCAAGTTTACGAGCATGTTTGTACCGATCTTCTGCATTTGTTAACAATTTTAATTTAATATTGCCAGTAAACCCGGTGTGAGCGAATGACGATTTTTTTATCCGAGGTTCAATTTGAGTGAAATTTCCAGATGGCACAAAGCTCAAAATGTTCGGAAAAGTTCGGCCGCCGTAATTCGATGTTAAACATGGACTTCCTTAACATTAGCTTCCACGTTCATGGTGGGCTCTCGCGAGAAACAATACTGCTGTTCGTCCTCTTCAGGGACAGCTGAGTCGACAGTTTCAGTGTTTTCAATATCAAAATCATTTTCGTCTAGTTCTAAAATGTCGGGATCAACAAAATCCAAACCGAAACCAAACTTTCTGTTGCCTGCTCGTTGCCATTTTGTTTTCTCTTGACGATCGTAAACAGATCGCCGGGGGCGTTCGGGACAAAATGAAGATGAACCGAGCTATAATCGAGTGTGTTCGTGATCGTTCCCCGTGGACAGGAAATTATGCAGACACGATCTGGATTAACAGTAATCTGGTGGCGGCAACGCACATACATCATAGCGAGTAAACACCGTGCAGCGTCCATCTCTAGTACGTCCATGCTATGATGTCATAATTTATTTACATGTGCACAAGACAATGTGTGACCTTGTTGAACTATAGTAATCATGTGTTTACTATTCGCTAATTTGGACTTTTAGGGCATTTTCTTGTGTGTTTTTTTTCAAATTATTAACATCACTGTAAAGTTTATTCAACAAGAAAGTGTTTGGTATGCACGTACAATTTATATCATGAAAACTGTATTTTCAAGAGATTACTGCGGACTCCTATTCTACACTAACTCCAGAATCTTCAAATTTCATCCCCATTTATGAATCGGGACAAGAAAACAAAATTTAATTTTGTTAATGGTTGAACATGCATAATTACTGAAAAGCTGAATTTATTAAATGTTACTTTTCCACAAGACAGAGACATCAAACAAAATTGCAGTATATTTTTGTTTTTATTGTTACCCTTATTTTGTTCCTGTTATGTAACTTTAGTGAACTTTTTGTAGCAATAATTTCAGAAATAGATAAAAAGAAGTTGATTCACCTATCTGTATAATACAGCGATGTACCCAACTATATTTATTTATGCTTTTTTTATCGATAAAAAATAACAGAATAACACTCATATATACAAACTTTTCTTGTCGTTAGTAATATACATGTACTTCTGTATTTGTATCTGTAATGTAACTGAGTAATGCCATTTGAACTGAAAGTTCAATGCATCTTTTCACTATTTGTTTTAATTTGTGTGTGAGAGTCAATACGTATGGTTTTGACAGATTTGCTGGTACATGTATAAAAAACTAACCAAACAAAATTGCCAATTTAAATAGCATTGCAATTTTGTTGTTGTTAGAGAGTGAGACTGCCATGAATCCGTATTTGTTATGTAAACATAACCTGTATAATATATTGTTTACATAAAATAAAAACACATGCTGTGCATCAACCTCACAGTTCATTGATTTCATGTAGACCACTGTGACTGAAGTATGACTCTTTGCTTTGTCAACAGGAAAGCAGAACAAAATGAGTGGTAGTCGCAGAAAGACCAGTAAAAGTTCAATTGACAGCTCTAGCTATAGGTCACCTGGATCTGCCGGATCACACAGAAGTAACGATTCTGAACTATTAAGTGAATGTCATTCAGTTTACACTATAGTGTTTGACAGTGTAACCGAACCAATCAGATCAAAGGAAGAGTTGTCTCAAGGTACGAATCAGATGTATTAATGCATGAAAATACTAAGACAAATGTTTCTCAGATTGTCCAGTAGAGTTTGACGTGAATGCAAGATCTTACTAAAAGTAGAACTGGCCTAATCAACGCTGTATATCACATGATGAAAGAAATCACGTAAGAACTTGTGCAGATGGTAGATTTTTTTTCAATTCCGACTGTTTTTAGTCCCCGTTCGGACGCAGTCGGAAAACGGGGACTTATGTTTTGCCCTGTGTGCGTCCATCCGTCCGTGATCACCTGTATCTCGAACATGCATGGACCGATTAAGTTCAAACTTCACTCATACATCACACATTATATGGGACATATGCACATGCATTTTTTTCATGATCTGATTAACGATAGCCGAATAGCGGCCATTTTAAGGCCGAAAATGCATCAAAATCGCACATTTTCACCATTCCAGACCCGGATCTCAGTTATGCATGGACGGATTTTGTTCAAATTTGGTACATACATTAAACATAATAGGACCTTGATGCACGTCATTTTTTTTTTGGGATCGGGTTCGAAATGGCCAACTGGCGGCCATTTTGTTTTAAAGAATTCAGTTCTGGATCCGTATCTGAGACATGCTTGGATTGATCGAGTTCAAACTTCACACACACAAGGTACATCATGTCACAAATATGTATGTGCATTTATTTCATGATCTCATTAACGATAGCCAAATGGCGGCCGCTTTAAGGCCGAAAATGCATTGAAATCGCACATTTTCACCATTCCGGACCCGGATCTCAA